TCCGGGAAAGCGGACACCAAAGGGGAAAGGCCAGCGGTGGTGGGGGGGACGGGGACGGGCGTCTTTGTAGGGGCCCGAAGGCAGGGCGCGAGGGGCCTGGGGGTGCGGGGCGGCCGAGCGGTGATCCAGAGTGGATGAGAGCCCCCAGGCCCAGGTAGGGCTGATGGAAGAGGGGGAAGGGACCCAAACTCCCTGGGAGCAGGAGTGGGGGAGGGGAGTGGATGGGGGGTGCTTCCCTCTCTGCGTCCCAAACAAAGTGTCACAAAGAGCTCGGCCGGCGGCAGCAGCGGAGGCGGCTGCAACTCAGCTTTTGTTCTCCCGGCCTGGGTAGCTGAGCCCTGGCCTTCCAGTCTCCCAACCCTGCCCCCCATCATCCTTCTGGCTTATCTAACCCGGGAAGGGTCTGGGGTGCTGCCGGAAGAACCTCCTGTGCAGGATCACAGGTCCTGCCCTACTTGCCAACCTACCTCTGGGAAGTGGATTTTCCCAGAGGCTCTCCTGCCCACCCCCACCCCCTAATCCCAGGACTGAGGCCCATATGGGTGCTAAGACTGACCTTTCTAGGTTCAGCTCCAGTTAAGGGGACTTAGGGCTGGCTCCACGCCCTCTCCCCCAAATCCAGGTCCTCCACAACTTTCAGAAGAGGGGTCAAGTTGGGACATGCCTCTGGAATAGGATTCACAATGTTGAGATGGCAGTAGGTGAGCAGGTGTACCTTCCCCTTGCCTTCTGCTGTATATTTGGAGTCTAGACTGAGATTCCATGTCCCCAACTCCGGTTGGTGAGGATGGAGGAAAGGGGGCTTTACCAAGAACTCAGTGTAAAAGCTGTGACTGGGGTCAGTTTGGAGGAGCTACCTGAGCCGTGAGGTTCAGAGGACCATGGAGAAGAGACCATAAAAGTGAGCTATTGGGATGTCTGTGTGATAAAGGTCTTGACTCGAGACCACCTACGAAGCTCCCTCTCCTTTTAACCCCGTCTAATGCAATAATCATAATTGTTAGAGGACTTGGGAGGTGTAGGATTCTCAACAGATGGGAAAACATCAAGAATTAGAAATGACTCGTGACAGAGGCCTAGTCATGACCACACCTCAGTAGTCCTGAACTCTTGCCCCTTACACTTTGACCCCAAAAACTTTTGAACCACATGGCTTGAGGGACAATCTGCATGGTCTTCCGTCCAGCGTATGTTTCTATGTATCTGTCCCTGTTGTTTCTCAGAGTCTTCTCACCAACCTCTCCATCCTTCCCTCACAGTAAGGTTTGGTGGTTCACACCCCCTTCCCCACTAGCACTCCCAGCACATAAAAGTAATTGGCTTGTTGCTTTGGAAAGATTTCTGATCCCTACCCCTGGCCTTGCATCCTTATGGAACCCAAATAAGGGCAAGATAACCCTGAATTCCCAGTAGGGGTGGAAAGTAGGTCAGTGCTACTGTCTGGCTAAGTCTCATGGATGGTGTTGAGGGCCTGACTATTAAAAAAACTTGATCATTGCCCATGGGCAGTACATTTATGACCTGGGTTCCAAGACAGTTAATAGAATCTTGAGCCCTGTTAATGCTTTCTCCTATTGAGAAAAACTCATAAGATCAGGTGCCTAGGACCTGGTGTGGTGTGGAGGTGATTCAGAATCTGTTGACTTGGACTAGGAGGGTCTCTCAGTGGGTTCTGTTGATTTGAGGCCACCATCTGGGGAAACTTACCCAGCTTGAGAATACAGCTCTAATTTGGGTCTTCTTGTGGATCACTGCATTTCCATCCTAGAAATTGCTGTGTGCACAGCAGGTTTTTTTGTTTTGTTTTGGGGGAAGGAGCTTTGCCCTATTCCTTCTTTACTTGCCTCAGATACAAGGTCAACCTCTCATTAGTTATTTTGCTTGCTATTCTACAGGCAGTTTCAGGGGCCCTAGAATCTTCTCAGAATCAGAGTATGTGCCCATAGGTTAGTCAGCTATGACCATGCAGTATTCCCAGCCTTCTCCCTCCTCCCCCACCATCTGCTTCCTCTGAATATACCAGATTGGCTGTACACCAGGATGTTCCGGGAATCCCCAGGAGAGCAACAGAATGTGATGGACCCAAATACGATGCCTCAGTCACTCATTCTGGGATGTACAAACTGTAACTGTCAGGACACTCCTTATAGCTAATTAAAATTCTTCTAGTTACATCTATTTTCTATTACATCTGTCTATTTTCAGTGTCATCCAAAAGGCAAAAATAATCCCCCTGGTACCACTGTTCTCTCCTTCCCCTCCCCCATGGCTCCCAGATAGGAATTAAAAAAAAAAATCCTCTAGCTTTTCTCAGCTGTAACTATGGTGCTAAAATGGCAAACGTAGCCCCTCTAGCACTTCATAGCCCTATCTAGAGTACTGAGGTAGCCACAGTAGCTCCTCTGGTAGCCCACTGCACTCTCCATGGTACTGAAGAGATGACCATTTGTTTTAACTTCTCTCTGGGGTCCAGAAGAGTCCTGTGACTCAGAACTACAAAACTTTCAAGCTGGAAGGGACCATCAATATAAATTAGTCCATCCCCCTTACTTAACAGATGAGTAAACTGGGAGGTTAAGTGATTTACTGAAGATTGCAGGGCTATTAATGGTCAGACTGGGCCCACAATAGCCTTGTTACCACTCAGTCCTACTCTAATTCACCTTTCATGATATACTACTTAGTGAGCCTGGCTAGCTCTTGGTCCCAGGAAAAGGATTTATTTGGAGAATCCAGAAGACGAGAGCGGATGCTCTTAATTTGGTGCTAAAAAAATACAAATATTTGGTGGTGGAGGTTGTTTAGTGACCCTTGGACAAGAACACTTTGTTAATTAACTTCCTGTTAATAAAATTCCCATAACCCAGATTCCACATGTAACAGGTACCTGCCTGTTATGGTGTCTTATCACACTCACTAAATACCAAAAATTAAAGAAGCCTCAGACCTCCAGAGCCTCTTCTCTTTGCTGATAAGTAAATTGGGCTGACTCCTGGCCCAGTTCTCTTCCACTAAAGATCCTTAAGCAAAGTAATGCTTGAGTCCTTTTCTTTGTCAGTAACCCATTTCAGTTTCACAATGTCTATTGTAAGGAAGTTCTTTATTTTATATCTCAAATATTCTTTCTATCTCAGACCAAAAAAAAAAAAAAAAAAAAAAAGGTTAGGCCCACATTTGTCTAGCCTTGACTAGAAAAAATTCTACATGTAAGCAGGAAGGTATACTGACCAATTTCTGGTCATTGTCCCAGGCCTATTTCCATGAATCTTAATTCTGGGATTGCTTCTAAGTCCTAATGCTAACCTCCTCTGCAGCTTAGAATCAGGAGACTGCCCCCCCACCCCCACCCCATCCTCTTCTCAGTGCTCTTCTCCTTCCTTAGAACTGGAGCTCTGCACATCCCAGGCCCAGGGAATTTTAGCCTGGAGAATTTTAACCCTTTCTTGCTCAGAGCATGTGCTGAGCCCCTATCTGTGCAGATGGCCCAGCCCCGCCCCCCGTCCCTCACTCCAGCCTCTTGAGCTCAGAGCCAGTGTAATCCTCCTCTTGTGTGAGGGAGCCTCTCCCCTGCAGAGAGGAGGAAAGCCTGCTTCGGAACAGCCCTGGACAAAGGGGCTGAGATGCCCCATCAAACTGCAGGCTCCAAGGTTTGAAACATGGGGATGAATCCTATCTGGTATTTGCAGTTTTTAACCCCTTCTCCAGGCCAGCAGCGCCCCTGAACTTCCACTCCTCCCCCCCAACTCTCTCTTCATTCCCTCTCCCTCTGGCTCTCTCCCCCTTCGTGCCCCTCCCCCTCTGTCTGTCTCCAGACTCTCTGCTGCTGGGAGGTGTTTCTCTCCCATGCATGAATGAGTCTCTGTAATGAATGGAAATGAATGGATCAGGAATCCAAGCGGAGGGAGGGAGAATGAGGGGGAAAGACAGAAAGACAGGGTAAGGGCAGAAGGAAGGATTGTGGAGCCCGGAGGGATGTTTGGCTGGCTGGTTAGTTAGGGGTCTGAGAGCAACTAGTCCCATTTGGATAACTGGAGAGTATGGCAAGCCCACCCCACTGGCTCATCAAGCTGCAAAGCCCAAACTAAATGAGAGGGTTATACTGTGATGGTCCCCCTCCACCACCAGGGGTGGTGGTGGTAGTTCTGGACCAGGCATTTAAAACCTATTTGGGGGAAGAAGTATGTTATCCGGGAGCTTTGTGAGCTTGGCAAATCAAGGAGTACAAGTTTTGAAGACAGCAGCCCCCTCCTGCCTCAGGATGCAAGGAGGGAGAAGGGATAGGTTTCAGTAATACAAGGTGCTAAGATTGTGGGGTTGGGGGTGACACTTCCCAGTGCTGAAAATCAGGACTCATCTTTTACTCCAAATCTGTCTCTCTTGCTTTAGCTCTTCAGCACCTGTTGCCTTCACTAGCAGCTTTTCCTCCTCCTCTGCACTCCCCAGAACCAAAGAATGTGAAGGGGGTCCATGGAGGTGAGTGAAGCTCTGGCCTGAACCTGCAAGTACCTACAACTACAGTCCCTCTCTTCCCTACCTCTCTCTTCTGGCCTGTCATTATTAGAAGTTATCTCTGTGGCCCCAACAGCTCCATTTCCATTCATTTCCCCAAATTCCCCAAGGTGAGTGGGAAGGGTACCCAGTGTACCTGGTTCAGGCCCCAGCCCACCTTCCCTCGGGTTCTTCTGGCCCTCCATGCCTTTGCTTACTCCACAACTCTCCTTTCTCCACCCTTTGCTCTATATACTTCTTTCTCCACAGGGCTCACGTCCCCGTGCCCCGGGTGGCCATTTAGCGCCGTCACCGCCGGCCTTCGACGGCGAACTGGATCTGCAGCGCTACTCTAACGGGCCAGGAGTGAGCGTGGGGTCTTCAGTAATGGGAGCGGTGGGCTGGTCTGAGAGTCGCGCTGGCGAAAGACGCTTTCCCTGCCCTGTATGCGGGAAGCGCTTCCGTTTCAACTCCATCCTGGCTTTGCACCTGAGGGCACATCCAGGTGCCCAGGCCTTCCAGTGCCCGCACTGCGGCCACCGGGCAGCGCAGCGGGCCCTATTGCGCTCGCACCTGCGCACACACCAGCCTGAGCGCCCGCGCAGCCCTGCCGCGCGCCTGTTGCTGGAGTTGGAGGAGCGTGCGCTATTGCGCGAGGCCCGGTTGGGGAGACCCCGAAGCTCAGGGGGCGTGCAGGTCACCCCTGCCACTGAGGGCCTGGCACGGCCCCAAGCTCCTTCGTCGTCCGCCTTCCGTTGTCCCTTCTGCAAAGGCAAGTTTCGCACCGCGGCGGAGCGCGAACGCCACTTGCACATCCTACACAGGCCCTGGAAGTGCGGCCTGTGTAGTTTCGGTTCCAGCCAGGAGGAGGAGCTGCTGCACCACAGCCTGACGGCCCACGGAGCTCCTGAGCGCCCCCTGGCGGCCACTTCGGCCGCGCCCCAGCCTCAGCCCCCACCACAGCCTGAATCCAGATCAGTCCCCAAGCCGGAGCCAGAGCCGGAGCTGGAACCTGACCCGGAGCCTGAACGTGCGGCAACCCCTGCCCCTGCGCCCGCCGCCCCTGAGGAGCCCCCTGCGCCTCCAGAGTTCCGTTGTCAAGTGTGTGGTCAGAGCTTTACGCAGTCTTGGTTTCTCAAGGGCCACATGCGCAAGCACAAGGCCTCCTTCGATCATGCGTGCCCTGTGTGTGGCCGATGTTTCAAGGAGCCCTGGTTCCTTAAGAACCATATGAAAGTGCACGCCAGCAAGCTGGGCCCACTGCGTGCCCCGGGGCCTGGTTCCGGGCCTGCCCGAGCCCCCCAGCCTCCTGACCTGGGTCTGCTGGCCTATGAGCCGCTGGGCCCTGCGCTTCTCTTGGCCCCAGCGCCCACACCAGCTGAGCGCCGTGAGCCTGCGAGCCTCCTAGGCTACCTGAGCCTGCGAGCTGGCGAAGCCCGGCCCAATGGCGAGGGCGCTGAGCCTGGGGCTGGCCGCAGCTTCGGAGGCTTCCGCCCCCTGCCTTCTGCTCTCCCAGCCCGGGCTCGGCGGCACCGTGCCGAGGAGCCTGAAGAGGAAGAGGAGGTGGTGGAGGCCGAGGAGGAGACCTGGGCCCGGAACAGGGCACTGGGCCCTCTGGCGTCACTGCACCCGCGCCCAGGGGAGGGGCCCGGGCACTCTGCACAGGCTGTGGGGGCCACGGCAAGACCTACTGCCACACAGGGTACGTAAGGGGCTTCTCCGAGATTTTCCAAATCCTGGGCATCTCTGACACCACCACTCTCCTCCTGTACTCTTCCTTTAAAAAAGCACCTGCGTCTTATTTCTTGCCTTCCCCCCCTTGGAGCTTTACCACCTTCTGAGACCACCAACTCAATTTACAGCAAATCCAACTCATTCCCCCAAGCATGCTGTTTCCTCCTGGGCCCAATTTTCTGGGGTCGTTGTGGGGTGCGCGGTTCTTATAGGATTAGGGCAAAGGTACCCTCTGACTTCCTTTAACGCTTGTATTGCAGAAGAGAATGGGCTGTTAATTGGAGGGACCCGGCCTGAAGGGGGCCGAGGGGCCACTGGCAAGGATTGTCCCTTCTGCGGAAAATCTTTCCGCTCAGCGCATCACCTCAAAGTGCACCTGCGAGTGCACACAGGTAAGGGGGCAGCCTCCAGGACGAGGAGAACACTGGAGGGCAGGAAGAGAGGTGAGAGGGCCACTAGAGATGACGTTCAGCAGCCTTCACACTGGCCAGATGAGGACGTTGGGCAGTCCTTTATTAAATCAGAGGGGTGGAGAGGCAGTATATTTTCCTGGTCCAGAGATCTGTACATTGAGCGAAATGCAGATGGGGCGGGCAGCGGTCATTATTGTGACTTTACCGCACACTCCTCTCCCCAGGCGAGCGGCCCTACAAGTGTCCGCACTGCGACTATGCAGGCACCCAATCCGGCTCGCTCAAGTATCACCTGCAGCGCCATCACCGGGAGCAGAGGAGTGGGGCCGGCCCTGGGCCACCCCCAGAGCCGCCACCCCCTTCCCAGCGGGGTTCGGCCCAGACGCCCGGAGCCAAGGCAGCTCCGCAGCCTGCGACCTGGATAGAGGGTGCCACGAGTCCCCGGCCTTCCAGTGGTGCTGGGCCGGGGTCCCGTCGAAAGCCCTCCAGCCCTGGGAGGACCCTGCGCAACGGGCGAGGCGGTGAGGCCGAACCCCTGGACCTGTCCCTGCGGGCGGGGCCGGGAGGCGAGGCCGGGCCGGGGGGTGCCCTTCACCGTTGCCTCTTCTGCCCTTTCGCCACTGGAGCCCCTGAGCTCATGGCCTTGCATCTGCAAGTGCACCACAGCCGCCGAGCTCGGGGCCGCCGGCCGCCCCAGGCTGATACATCTCAGCCCTATGTCCGAGCACCGTCAGGAGAGACCCCTCCCAGTCCTCCGCAGGAAGGGGAGGAGGGCCCCGGGCTGTCGAGATCCGGAGAGGTGGGGCTGGGGGGCCAAGAACGGTAGGGAGCCCTCTTAGGGGCGGTTAGCTTAGTGAGCTTACCCCGCCGGAGCGGGGGAGCGCTAGAGGTAGTTGGGTAGAGCAGCCAGCAGGGGGCAGCATGGGACCCATATCCCAGCCCCAGGTGGACCAGAGGTGAAGGTTGTGGAGGGCATAGGAGAGTGGGCGGGAAGTACCCACCCAGCCCAGGGGAGTCACAGTGCCTTAGAAGTGGCAGGGGTGAGGATCAAAGAACGGGGTCCCAGGGCTGGCAGAGAGGGTTGTGCCCCTATTGAGGAGCCACTCTGCCAGTCCTTGCTGGTCCATAGGCGTGAGAGTTTATTTTTGTACAATGGGTGGGGGTGGGGGGGCACTGTACCCTTCTAAGCCCCTTTAGGGGCCCTGTAGACGTCGCTATTTTTGGTACGATTCCTGTCATCCCTGTCGCAGAGTTGTGTCCCCAATAAACAGGTGTCTTAAGGCACAGGATGCAGTGTCTGTCTATGTCCTGTCCTTCTTGGGCCAGTCTGTCCAGGAAAGAGGCACCTCTTTAGGCATTTATCACCCAAAGAGCCTGATAACAAAAGTGGAATCTTGGGTTTACCCCCAGGCTTTGGCTTCAGTAGCTCTGGGGTGGGGCCCAGGAATTAGCATTTAGCAAGTAGCCTAGAGGATTCTCATGTACTGTGTGATCTGAGGACCTAATTTTGAGGTCTGCTGGACTGTGCCGAATCCCAGCTTGACAGTGACTAGCTCAACTTCAACAAGTGGGTGCAAGTGTGAGAGGAGGAGCTCCAAAGGGTGCATTGAGCCACTGGGAGCCACTGTGGAGGAGGCACATTTTCCCAGGCCTGGCCCATACTCAGCTTTGGGCCAGGAAGGGGTACAGAGTATCTTGTAGCCTTGGTTTTATTTTCTGTGTTCTAGTTAATGGCTGAGGGGAAGTGTTGAAGTTAGTAGTATCACCTCAACCCAGAGGACTGCTCTCTAGCTCTTTGGACACAAAGTGTGAGTAAATACATTTAATAGAACAATAGTATTGTAATAACAGTAATTACATATATAAAGTTTGTAGTTCCCCACCTCACCCTCATAAAATGGCTTGCATAGCTGTTTCTTATGACATCCCAGAATGGAGTCACCAGGAATTATGGTTGACCTGGCAGAGACGAGTCTTCTCAGGGAGACCCAGAAGGTGGGAAGAAGGGGAGAACACTGGCTGTCTGGGGAGGCCTGACGTGGGGGCGGTGCCCTGGGAGTATGGCCCAGGATGGCCTAGGATGGGGAAGGACTGCACCAGGGATAATTTCCCTGCCTCCAGGGTATGAAGGCAAGCAAGTATGGCCACTCTGGTTCCTGAGGGAAGGCACCCAGCTGGGGAGAGCTATAGAGATAGCGGTAGCAGGGAAACACGCTGGTCCTTTGACCTCTCTGTCCAGGAAGCAGAGGGAAGGAAGTCAGTGCTCTTCCAGTCCTTCACTATGTCCCACTGCCATCCCACACCAAAATGTGCTGAGAGGAGGGACTGTAGCCAAGTTCTGGATTTTCTCTAGAAGCCAGGAGAGAAGAGGGAGATGGGTTGGGAGAAGGAAGAGGCTGACTCCCAAGCAGCTGGGGGTGGGGGGGAGGAAGGATGGTACATGCAAGTGGGAAAGGGTGTTGTATGTGGTAGAAAAGGGGTACCAACTCACCCAGGTCACAGAGGCGTGGTGGGGTCACTCAAGGCTCGAGCATGACTCTTAGAGGAGAGAAACTTCAGTGAATTGAAAGGATAAGAAATGACCTCTTTCCTATATTCCCCTTCTCTCTCCCCTAAGCCTGTCAGTTCACCTCTTTTCTCCCCAGTTTCTGAATTTGCTGATTTAATCCAAGTCCAAACCAGGCTGTTGGCATTCTCCCCTTTCCATCTACTTTTGCAGTGTGCTACTTATTAAAGATTCCTTTTCACTTCTGACCTTAGTGCCTCTCAGCCAGGCCTGGATGAGAGGAGAAAGGCAGACTGGACAGTATATCCAACCTGTAGCCTCTCTGGGAGCACAGGCTCACTGGCTCCCCCTGCCTTCCATGGGTTGAAAGATCAGAAGAGCCCATCCAGAAAGTGGCCCAAGAGGTCACCCATGCCCAGCCCTATTGCAGGGACTTACCTGCCGGGATAGCCCTAAGATTCCTCCACTGGCCAGAGTGGGAGTGCTGCTCCCAGGGTGGGGGGGTTGCAGGCTGGGGCTGTTTCTTGGTCCTGGGGACACATCTCCAGAAGAGTCAAGTGTTTCTGGGGCTGGAGGGGAAGCTAGGGTGAGAGCAGGGTATTGAACCCCTCTAGATTACCTTAAGCAACCAAGCTGCTCCATCAGGGAAGAAAAAGCTCCATAGCAACAGGAAGCTGTGAGTCACTATAGCAATCCACTTGCAAGAGACACCCCCTACCAAGAGGCAGGAAATGTCAGCAGCATCATTAGAGCAACCAGGGAAGAAGCGACAGGAAACTATAAGGATTGCCGTGGTGAACCAGGAGGGTACAACAGGAAGCTGAGGCAGTTTCCATAGAAACCCAAGGAGAGCTAGAGAGAGAGGTACAGAAGTGCTTCTTAGCAACAGGCTGCTGTAAGTATTACCCTAGCAACCAGATGGAAGGCTCTTTTAGCAATTGGGAAGCTGTAAATAGTTGTCATGGCAACTGGGCTACTTGGCTAGAGAAAGGAATTGCTCAGCAGCAAGCAGCCTGAACATCACATAATGACCCAGCTGTTGGGAGCCACCCCTTGAGAGGTGCCTCACCCAGGGAAATTTGCTTGACGTCCAGATCCCAGGCCTCCTCCTCGACGCGGGCAGGTAGGGAGCAGGCTCCCGGTGAGAGGCCGGGAAGGGAAGGGCCGGCATGCTCAAAGGATGACACGGCCACGGAGGCCCGGGTGCGGGCAGCTGCAGAGAGTGGGGGGTGGGGAGGGTGGGGTACTGGTGTGGAAAAGCCCTCCTGGCTCCCTGAAAAGACCCTCCATCTCATAGAGGGCCTCCCAGTCAGTCCCACAATTTCTGGGAAGACATATCCATTCACTACCCTTTCTCACTTTCTACCTTGTCTCCCCACTCATTGTGCCCTCAGTGTCAAGGTCTTGACTTCTGGGGGCCAACCCCCAGCACTGTGGCCCTCACCTCTTCCAGTGAGTAGGGCACTCAGTGTCCGCTCTCCAAGGGCCTTGATGTCCAGGAAGGGTTTATTTCCGATGCCCATGGAGACCATCTGCTGCACTCGGAGCTCTAGGGAACAGAGACCCTGTCACCAACCTCCTTTTGCCCCTTCTCTGCTCTAGCCCTAGCATCATCTTGGTCCACTCTTCCTTTTGCTCCTTCCCAACTCTCATCTCTCTCTCTTATTCTCCTGGTATCTCATTACTCTTCCTGTTGACTGTCACGACATGGATGGAGACAGTGGTCCTCGACTTCTTCCCCACATACGTCTCTCCTTTCCTGTATGTTGCATCCTGTCCATTTACCATTCCAGCTGCCCAACTTCTTCCCTATATTTTGGGAGTGAAACTCACATTTTTACATACCTTTATCGTTAATCAAGTGCTTTCATATATATCACCTTATTTAATTCTCCCTATCACACCAAAATGTAGATATTACTTTTCATTTTTTTTCAGATGAGTAGAATGAGGTTCAGAGAATTCAAAACAAAACAAAACCCAGCAAAACTCCCAAAACTAGACCAGGTCATACAGACCAATTCCAGTGAACATTTTCTTACTCTTTTTGCCCAGCCATTTGCTTTTGCTTCCCTGAAATTTGCTAGATTCCTCTTTCCTTTTGGAATACCTGAGACTAATTTCTATCTCATCAATCTCTCTCTAATCATATCTTGAATCTTCTCATAAGTAATTCCTTCTCCATTCTACACCCTGTTGTCCCAAGTGGTCTTCACACTCTCCAGCTAACCTCCTGCTATAACCTTGACCCCTAAGCACCCTCCCCAGGCTTTGCCTGGTACCCTTGTTGTAGGCTGCTTGTCTCCACAGCAACTGGGCAATAGAACTTGTCCACTTGAGTTTGATCTCTGGTGAGGCTGCCTGCAGAGTGTATGCCTCTCGTGCACGCCGCCGCCGAAACCACAGCTCAAAGCAGAGCCCGCTGTCCCCGATGTTTTCTGTTAGCCCCATGTCAGCAGTCTGAGAAAGAGCAGAGGAGAGGGTTGAGGATGAAGTGAATCCCAGATAGATAGTGCCACATGGAAAAGCATTACACTTAGCCTGGCATCTGGTAGACGTTCAGTAAATGTTTGCCCAACACCTACCATGGGCCAAGTGCTCGACATTTAGTCTCCATAGCAACCATAATTTACAGAAGGGGAATGCCCAGAGACATGAAGCAACTTGCCTAAGAGCTTATCACAGCTTATTAGAAAAGGAAGGTTCAAACCCATGCCTATGTTATTGCAAACCTAATCTTTTTTTCTCTACACCATACTCCCCCCTGAAGGGCTGGAATTAGTGTCGGGGGACAAAGTCTAGAAAACCTTAGAATCATGCCACACAACTTGATCTAGGACCATAGGTCATGACCTGTGTTTACCTGGATACCAGGGCTGTTTTCCTAAAGCAATGCCTGCCTCTTGGCTTCTTAGTTCCCATCAAGTTAAGCCACATATATATTGTGTCCTTTCTCCTTATCCCCCTGACCACCTCTGACTGAAAAGGCATGTGTGTTCTTAATGAGAAGGGTCGTCCTCCTTTCTGACTTGGAATGCCTCATGAGTCTCCTTCATGAACAGTGAGGAAAACCCCAAGGAGTAGACCTATGACAGGGATTTTTATCACCCTGACACCCTAACTGATGGTTGGTTACAGGCCAAAGCCTGTTCTAGATGATGGAGTTTCTGAACCTCGGTTGGGGTTGAAGTTCCAAAATATCCCGATTCTTGAGAAGATCACGACTTCCTGTCTTATTCCCCACCACCCGTTTATTCCTGCAGGCATTGTACCTTAAAGGCCTGCTTGTAAACAAAGGTCTCCGACCCCCCCTCAGAGCCCTTGAGCTTGCTGAACAGGAGGAGATGCTCAAAGAGAAAGACATGGCGAAGGCACTTTTTTCGGCCACAGATGACAGTGAAGGGGTCCCGGTGTAGGAGCTGTCCCTGTTCCTTCAGATCTGTCTGGAGGAAGGAAAAGGAAAGGTCGTTGGCCCTGGAGGATTTTGTGTATATTTTATGGGGAGTAAAAATGGGATTTATAGGGTAAGGGCCTAATGACTAATTCTCAGGGAAAGTCTGGAAATTAAGGAAGCCCTAATTTGGCCTGGAATCCACCTACTGGTCACTACACACAGAATACCTGGCTTAGTAGCACAGCCCGCCTCTGAAAACGAAAGGTACATTGCATAGTAGGGTTTACAGCCTCCACTATGGGAACCCTTTGAATGTTGGAGGGGAAAGCACAATTTCGCCTCAGGAAGATAATCAGCAAAGAATCAATGGGAAAGAAGTCTATCCCAGAGGCGGTAGGTTTCCAACCTGTT